TTGCAGAATTTCATTTTGCAGGCTTGTACACCAAGATGACACTGGTCCAGCCTGTTGGTTTGTGTTTATTTCATGTTCCTTTAGAAAGACAAGACTTCATATGGGATATGACTACCGTGAACAGAGCTATGTTATGAAAACACAATGGATAAGCAGTTACTTGACTATTTCAGCTGAATGTTTTCACAGTTCTCTTTTTAAGTCATGGTTGTTTATTACAAGTCAAATATTTTTCGTTATTTAAGTGTTCTCTGACAAATCTGAAAGCAGCTTAAATGTTAGTGCAATATTGATATATCATTTACATGTTTCAAGTAGTTTGCTACAAATAATTCTGACTTGAATGGAGTGTCACTTCTGGAAAACATTGTATGTCAACTTAGTATGGTAATGCGGGAAGTTTTTCCCTGTATAAAAAGAGAAATTAAGTCCTTTGTGCCAAAAGCATTTTGATTGTAGATATTTTTCAGGCTTGGTGATACCAACCAAAACTGAGAACTATTTATGTGAGAATGAATTAACCTGCATAACAAGTATTCTGTTGTTTTACTAGAGAGTGTACAAGAATTTATAGCAGCGTAAGACATGATTTATGTATTACTTATGGTTTTGTGTAATGTGATTTTGGAGATGAAGGTTTTCTATTATTAAGTGCAAATAGGATACCAGTGGTATTTTTTTCATGCGACGAAAAGCCTTAGCTATGAATTCTCACCTGAAAAGGCAGTTTTAAACTTGAATTAACATTAAAGGAATTAACAGTATTTGCTTTTAACTTCAAAGTAACTTCTGGTTGGGGAAATAAATTGGCAACAAATAAATAAGGAGTAGCATTAATCCATGCCTGTATTCCCAAGAAACTCATCGCACAGAACTATGCTGAAAACCAGTAACTTTAGCACTGTACAGTAAGATTTTAATTTATCTGAAAACTCTCAAGTTGTTACTTTCACCAATCTAAAACGCAGTACGTATTTCAGGGGCAATTTTAACTTAATTTTCCAATTCTACCCTCAACAAGGGCGGCTACAAAACATTACACGATTAACATCTTGAAAGCTGTCCGAGTACATAAGCTCAATAGGATAAAACGTTGAAGTACTCCATTTGGCAAAGAATAATCACGATCTTGCATCTCTGATTCTCCTCCCACGTAGCGTGGGAGGAAAATCTTGTATTCTGTAAACATGTAAACAGTAACATGGCAATGACAGAGAGAAATATCTTTTTTCCCCCCCCTTTTTTTTTAATCTTGGTGACCTTTCTCCCATAGCAGAGAGATTGCACCACAACCTACGTTTTAGATGTAACATACTCAAAGCTTTATTTCATGACATTTAACACCTGTTAAAATTTGATAAAAACTCACTGTTCTTTTCGCTGTGCTGCCCTAGTGATGACACTCAAACAAGCTTCATAGGTGACTGATAATAATCACAAAGTCTACTATGTGCTCTTTTCTAGCTCTTCCAATCGTTGAGCAACACATCGAGTTCACAGCATTGGTATCTTCCCATAAAATTGCCACCTAATAAGCTACGTTTAAAAAGAAATCCAACTCCAATCTAGTTTATTATTTGTCAAAAAATGCCTTTTCTGTTAATTGCAAAGCTTTGGTCTGTCTTTAAAAACCAGTATAATAGTTTAATTTCCAAATCCACTCAATATTATTAAGTAATTTGAGTTCCTGCTATTTTTCTCTTATTCAGTTGTTGAAATTAAGTTTACACCACAGCCTCCACCCTTAGTTTTCAGCTAGGAAAACCGCTATTTCTCATTGGTACTTACACACTAACAGTGTGCTTTTCTTGACTTTGCAGTAGCTGTTACTGTCTTAAATTACACTGCAACATTTAAGACTTAACAAAATAAATAAAACTAGGGACATAAAACATGGACTGAAAAGTTAACTTTCCTGCCCCATTAATTTCCTTGTCCACTTTATCTATCCCATAAACCCACAGATTTAGGCAGGTGTTGGGAAACCCCTTTCAATGGGAGGAATAAAAACAAGAAAGGGTGAAAAAACCAAATAGCCACTGCTGCAACTTACGCTTGTGAAATATGATGTACAGCGATAAAACACAGACAGAAGCAACCAATTTTCCACACTTAACTACCGTTAATTAAGAAATGCCTTTTAGACATCGTGTTCAACACAGCTGTTGAATATAATGGCAGGTGAATCTTGATGGTGAATCCTCCTTTCTTCAACCTCAAAACCAAAAAGGAATTTCATGTCTTGTGGAACGGAGTTCTGATCATTCCAGATGCAGAGACTATTTCATGTTGGAGACCAGCAGAGACTTCTTCAGCAGCGTATACATACTCAAATGATGAAAAACCATAAGCCAGCAGGATTTTTCTCATTGTTTACAGTTAGTAAAGAATCTGGAAGTTTTTATGGCTGCATCAGTGATTCAGTTTATAATTTGAACCATCAGATACAGGACTAGCTTACTAAGTAAAAAGGAGCATTATGGGACACCTCAAGTCTTCAAAATGTCCTCTTCAAGGCTCTTCAGGGATACCATCCTTTTTTAGTACTTGGTCATCTCTGAGAATTGTGCATACTTGTAATTCAGAGGAGCAAAAAGATATCTAAACACTTTAAATCTATGAAACTCTCCAGAACTATGAAAAAAACCCTTTAATTTTATACATGCAGTTTCACAACCTATTACCCAAATACTAATTATATTAGCAATTTGCTCACCACATAGCCACAAAAATTGATTCTACGTATGAATTCTTGCTCTGAGAAGTCATAAATCAACAGAAACACAGGTTTAAAAATTTTCAATTTTGAAATTTATTTAGAACTCAGGGGTTAAGCGTGGTAAGTTTCCAATTGTCTGATAATAGCATACCCATGTCACTATCACGGAAATTGCACTAATTCCCTCTGCCCCCCTCCCCCTTAGAAATCTGCAGGTTAGTTTTAACAGCCGGTGGTTTTGCAAATAGTGCGCTCTAGGACACTACTGCATTTCCTGAGTGTTCAAAGCTACTGTATGATACATTAAGCTGAAGGAAAAACAACAAAATTAT